AGCAGCTGGGAATTCAGCGAGATGTCCTTGAATTTAGCGGCACAGTCAAAGACAACTCTGAGCTTTTCAGGCTTTTTGGGGTTCACCACTGGGTGGTGTGGTAGGTACCAAAGTATTTTGCTTTCTGGATTGAGCTGATCGTCAGGTACCTTACGAGCGTAGCCTTTCTCTATATAGTCGTCGATTACACCTTTGTATTTTTCAAACAGGGTAGCATCTCTTTGGAATCGTTTCTTTAGAAGTTTCAGCCTTGATTCTGCGAGGATTCGATTGTTTGGAAGATGAGGTTCGTCAAACTTCCAGGGTAACGCTAATTGAAGATGTCCTTGTACCGACTTTGCTGAATTTTCTAGTACGTGCAGAGCTCTGCGATCATCYACCGACCAGTCTTCATCTTCATTCTTTGCTGACTCTATAAAGTCTGTTTTCCAGAACTGTTCAACTTGATGCAGAAGCGTATCCTCCTCTATGCTTATGGCGTTGACCTTAAAGGACATTTCTTCACTCTGATGTCGACTTACTGGGCCAATAACTGTCCAACCCAATAAGGATTTAACAGCATACGGTTCCTTCCTGTCTCCGCGTCGTTCATCYAGAGACCAGAAGACTTCGGGCGTGTCATTTCCGATCAGCAGAGAAACTTCACTGGCTTGTACCGTAGGTATCATGATGCCATCTAGATGTGGCCATTTCCTCAAATCATCTTGAGATGGTTTTCCTCGCACCGAAATAGGCAACTTGTCCACCGTCTTAACACTAGGTAACTCAACTGTTTCATCCGAATCCATGGCCATGACYTCGAGACTTACTTCTTGGCCTTTCTTGAGAATATTCGTTGTTTCTATAGTGTTCAGAGTAAATGTGCTRTCATTTCCCGTGACRTCGAGTTGTTTAGCGAGACGTTCGTGACACAGTGTTATATCAGAACCTTGATCGAGTAGGGCGTACGTTTCGATGACAGGACCACTTTCTTTGCTACAGACTCGTACAGGAACGATGGGAAGACATACTTTCTTCTGGTTGATATTTACAGCGTTGCAAGTTTGAACAGGTGTATCTGTAGTTAAAGAAGTGCGTTGATMTCCATCCGTCTTTCCAGCAGAACATTCTTTCTGGCTTTTAGTTTCTGAGATAGGAGGTGGGTGTAGTAGTGTGTGATGTTTACCAGTGCATCCTCTAAMTTYGCAGGCCGGTTTTTGGTAGCAAAATTTAGCGATGTGCCGGCCTTTTAAGCAATTATTACACCGTCCCTTTTCTCTTACAAGCTTAACTCTTTCTACGTATGGTTTAYTTTGGAAGTCCTTGCAGTCAGGCAGCATATGTGACTTTGTACATACAGGGCATTTAAATAGACGTGTTTCGTTTGGCGAACTTTGGGATTGYACTGCCAGTGTAGTGGCCAAGGTTACGTTGCGTTTTCTTACTTGAAAACTCGGTTGAAAGCTCTGCGACTTCTCGGTTTTGGACTTTGAATCGATGATAGAGCCGAACACAGGATCGTTGGCGGCCTTTGCTCTTTTAGACAGGAAGTTRGACATATCGCTTATCTTGGGTCTTTCGCCCCTTTCTCGWATYGTCATCGTCGTTTCCAACCACCTTGCTTTCACGTGAACAGGGAATCTTTCAGCTATCTTCCTCAAGTTATCAGCGCTGTTTAAGTCGTCCAAGTAGCCAATCGCATTCAATGTCATTTCACAATCCTTAAGT